TAGACTGAAATGTTTCATCTTTTAAAAAAAAAATTCTGTGTTGTCTGTTTGAATTTTTCTGGATTTAGAATTTAACACGAATTTATTATCAAAAATGGTGGTAACCAAATTAAGGCATAAAATATTAACAACGGAATTTAACTTATAAAATAGAATTAAATTAAACAATTACTCTTATTTTTATAGCGCAAACAGTGCATTGCTAAAATGAAAACATGGAAGAAAAATTTATTTTATTTCTTAAAAAAATGTAAAAAGTCAAAAAAAAATTGAAAGTTAATTTTAATTATTATTATTAATACTGCTTTGAGAAATTAATTATACTGTACAATAGTAATAAAAAGTACCTGTGTCAAAATTTCAAATTAAACCAAACTATTTAATGTGTTGTTGTGAAGACCTTTGAGTTTCTTTGTGCATCTGATAATAGTTGTATCAAATCAAATGGTGAAAAGCTCATGAAGTGACTCTCAGAGCAGCTCTGGAGATGAAGTTTGTATCATGTCCTCATATAGTGAGAAGGCAGACACTAAACCATGAGCGTCACACGTGCTTGAGTAGTGCGTAGTAGTAGACAAAACTGCACCATTAATTCACACAGACACACAGAACATGCAGACTTTATATTTAAATAGGAAAACAACTTTTACTTGAAATGAAACATTTACCATCAGAGTTTTTATTATTATTATTATTACTCTAGAACTGTTTCTCCAAAACATTTTTTCCCTGATATCAAGAGAACTGAAGATATGGGTTTAAAACCCTTGAATTAGGAAAATGCTTCACTGACAGGTGATATTACATGTACTTGTGGTAATGCTTTACCATGAAAAATGCAGAGTGAGACATTTACAGTTTGCAAGATATTGTCAGATGAGGTAAAAACATAGTTTTGGCACATGTGCAGGTGGTTTACACATACCAGCAGCTGACGGGAGACTGACAGAGGCAGCAGGTGAGGAGAAGTCGGCAAAGTCACCAATCAGATCTGAGTTTCCACCTGCAAAACATTAAGATGAGACATACAGTGGGTACGGAAAGTATTCAGACCCCCTTCAATTTTTCACTCTTTGTTATATTGCATTAGAATGCAACTATACATAGCTTACAATACAAGTAAAAAAATCTGGGGTAGGAAAGGTTTTTAATGGATCAATTATTCACCCTTGCTGAAAAGAAAATTCACACCAGAAAAACAAAAATCTTTGTTTTATATCCAAAATTATAATCTTTTTTTTTTCTACTGTGACGACAACAAAGTAGGACCAACTGATCTGGATGCGTAACTAAAATTCAGATGCACAGACAAACACACGTGTCCATCCACAGACACACAATTAGGCTGTCAGAACCTGGGTGCAACAGCTCTGGACCTCCTGACTGATGCGAGCGGACACAGCACAGCTGTTGGGCTGCTGACAGGATACGGAGGGACAGCAGCATCTGTGCACCCATCTCCTATTCGTTCTTTCTTTCTCTCTCTCTCTCTCTCTCTCTCGCTCTCTCTCTCTCTCTCACACACCACTCACACCCATCTGGGGCACTTATATGTCTCTAAAGATCTTCCATGAGTATGGCTTTAAAAGCTACATCAACTTTCAGGAAAAAGTTTCTGTCTGAGTCCCTGCATCCCGGACGAGCCCCCAAATTCTGTTACGTTCCCAGTTAGTCTAGGGTTAGAGGAACAGGTAACAGAATAAAAAGGAGATGTGTGGAGGCAGCAAGGTTCAATTCCCAACCCCAGAGCTTTAACAAAGGCCAAGAATCATCTCAATATCAAAACAAGTTCTTTTATTTTACAGATATGGGAGGATGTCAAAACTTCAAGAGGGGGCAAGGCCAAAATAACAAACATAAACCCTCTAACTATTTGGGAGAAACTAACTAAGCTAGAACAAAGAAAAGAAAACAAAAATACAATAGAAATAAACTACCTCCCTTTAAATTTAAACACCGTGATAATACCGTATACCGTGATAAAAGCATTAGCAATTAATCGCAACATGAAAATTTGATACCGGCATATCCCTAGCTCCAACCACATTGAGCTGTGGTGTCCATACAGGAGGTGTGGGGGTTCGAACTGGTTTGTGAGTAGTGTTCAAACCCTAAGTATAAGCAATAGTAACAGTGATGCTCAGCAAAAAAAGTACTCGTTGAAATGTGGAAAATGCTGCTGATGGGGTCTTACCTGACGACACTGGTTGACCAGAGCCAGAGTCCACCATCAACAGATCTGCAAGCCCTGTGCTGGATGACTGACTCACCGATGTCTGAAAAGAGAATGAAGAATGTCACATTTCACTTCTACCACATGAAGGCAGCACAGGCTTCCTTTTGCAACCCTAATCACTTCATAGAGAGGCCTGTAGAGGTGCACTCAGGTGTTTTTGTTTAGAATGTGCAGGATCTTTTTTTAATTGCAGTGACTTTGCCTTAACACATTTTGCAGGTTCTATGTAAAAATGTATATGAACTGCTTCATTTATATCTTATTATTATTATTATACAATAAATTAATTTATGATGGGAATGATGGGAAAGGATACATGCTTAAAATTATTACAATTAATTCTTATTTGTGACCCTGGACCACAAAACCAGTCATACAGGTCATTTTTTGAAATTGGGATTTATACATCATCTGAAAGCTGAATAAATAAGCTTTCCATTGATGTATGGTTTGTTAGGATAGGATCATATTTGGCCGAGATACAACTATCTGAAAATCTTGAAACTGAGGGTGCAAAAAAAAAAAAAATCTAAATATTGAGAAAATCACCTTTTAAAGTTGTCTAAATTAAGTCCTTAGCAATGCATATTACTAATCAAAATTAAGTTTTGATATATTTACGGTAGGAAACTTACAAAATATCTTCATGGAACATGATCTTTACTTAATGTCCTAATGATTTTTGGCATAAAAAAAAAACGATAATTTTAACCCATACAATGTATTTTTGGCTATTGCTACAACCATACCTGTGCGATTTATGACTGGTTTATAAATTCTGTGTAAACACGTCGTCATTTTTTCTATGTAAAAATAGATTTCAATTGCTTGATTTATAGATTTTATTATTGTTATTACTATTATTATTATGATAAATGCAAATGAATATTTATAAAGTATATAACTAAAATATATCACCAATATATTATAAATGATTCAAATGATGGGAAATGATTCATGCTTAAAATTACTGAAATTAAATTAATGCTTTTTCACAATATTTCAAATTCTTTTTCTTCTCCTTCTATCATCATTATCATCACGGTTATTATTATTTGTTACACAGCATATTAAATGATTAAAATGATGGCCAATGATACATTCTTAAAATGATTAAAATTAAATGAATTCCCATTTCACAATAGTTAAACATTTTATATATTTATTTATGTATTCATTTATGTTAAATACGTTGAAGCTACAATTAGATAGTGGAACTGACATTACTGCAGTTATTGGTCAATTACAATCGCCAAATGGGCAAATATTAACCTGGATATTTCAGCACCGCAGCCATCCATTTAATAATGCACCATTTACAGCAGGATGAATTTGGATGAAGGCAGTATTTTACCTGGTTGTTGTCAGCATCTGGACTGCTTTTGCTGCCAGTGTAATGAGCGGCTGCGCCCAGGTCGACCGTTTTGGACGGGACTCCGCCGCGTTTGCGTGTAGAGTTGGTGGTGGAGGTGATTGCATCTGTGGTCTCTGTGATCTGGACGTTCTTGGTTGTTACGGTCTCCTCATCATCCTTAAACTCCGACTTTGCAGGACGACCGTTCTGTGAAACTCTGTCCTCCTCATTGTCACTGCAGGAAGAGGCAACAGTAAGACAAAAAAATAGTACAGTAGCTACCGCTACTTCAGTTTCATAGCTTTTCATTCTATGGCGACTGAAAACTCAGTCATGTACCTGATACGATCTGGCGAGTCATCCCTCTCCTTCTTGCGGAATTTGTTGATGGTGTCATCAATGGTGCTTCCAATTTTGTCACTTATCTCCCCAAGTTTTTCACTGAATGGGAAGCTGCTCTTGTTTTTGTCCCAGTCCTCGTCCCATTTGCTTTTAGATTCGGGGTCAAACTGTTCTCCCGCTGAAAATGTGGATACAGAATTAGTTAGGTGCTTAATTTGTTTCAGATATTTAAAGCTTCAGATTGAAATTCATGAAAGGCCTGTTCACACCGGGGAAGATAACTATAAAGTTGTATTAATTGTTCTAATTCTATGAGAATAGCAAGGTCCAACTATAATAACAACGGCACTTTCAAAACGATTTTTCCAGCTGATGAATGATAAAAACATTGACAGTCAATTAAAATCCATTCTGCTTCAAAAAGCTTGAGCACTTAAAGCAGTAGACGACACAACTGCAGCATGCTTCTATTATTGTGTGCAGGTGTGGGAGCTAATGTAGTTATCTTTATAGTTATCATTCTTGGTGTGAATGGATCATTGTAAGTTAGATATGTATTGCCTAAAGACAAAGCATTAACTGCAGCACATGAAGATATTTAGGATATTTAAGTATATTTAACTTTTTTTTAATTGCCTCAAATGTGACAAAACTGAATTTAAGACATTTTTTGCCTGCTTGATGAACTTGCACGCAAATGCACTTCAAACTTTGAAAAGCATGGAAAATACACCTGACTAAAAACTCAACAAACTTAAAGTATAACTTAAAATCCAATTTTTCTTATCTTTCTCCATCAAAACAAATCCATCATTGGCATGCCATCATTAATTGGCAATTTGAAAGTGTAGTATAGCTAATAAAGGGAGAAATCTGAGCAGCAAATCAAAGCAGAAACCAAGCACAATCTTTTGACTTTGCACACAAGTAACATCCCTAATGGCATGACAAGGGACGTGGCATCTTGACTTGATTAGGCAGCTCTAAGAGAAAACATGTAATACAAAAAGCAGAGATCTCATTATTTCTTCTAACCTGATCATAAACATCACCAAATGATGCAGTGAGCAAAGTTGAAAAAGTGATAGCCCAGAAATCAAAACAGCTCTAATCAAAAGATCAGTCGTGGGAAGAAGGGAGTCCAGGGGGAATTTTCCTCACTATGCGAAAAAACTTCAGAGGGCCTAAAACAAATCCCTGTGGGACGTCTACAGTATACAGACAAAGCAGCTCACTTTTGGGGTCAATCACAGTTTCAAGAGATGAAAATAATGCCTCAAAATGACCTGTGACCAAAGGGAATTTCTTGGTGTATTTGATTACAAATTAACCCACTGGAACAATCACCACAACATCACAATACAATTAGGAAATAATAATAAAAAAGCACCTGACAGAAAGGACTATTATATGAACTCCTCCGGACAGCATCACCTATCTCTCTCTGTCTTTTCATTGGTTAACATCCAATTTCCACATAACATGCTTTACTGTCTCAGAATTGTTTGCTTGGGAAATATTAGTATACTGATATTAATTTAGAGCAGATTATTTTGGCATGCATTTGCACCAAGTATACTGGTGTAAGAAGTTGTCAGACTGTTAAGACATGAATGATGCAGGCATAACCAGTTTGGCAGACATATCTTTTTGCCCATATTCCAGGAATGCCGCAAATGACATTTATCACGTTTTTTTTAGGTTTGCACGAGTTTGGGGCACAACAATCTGTATCAAACAGCAAAATGTCTGTGAAATGTCTGTGAAACCTGTTTGGAAAATGTCTGATAAACAGTCGCCGTTCCATTTAGTGGCACTAGTGGTTACAGAAATCATCCACTTTCAAATTTAGAAATACTCAAATTTGCTACATTTGATCACTTACAGTTACTCTGTTTGAAGCCTCCCATGCTGTCAGAAGATACTCCAATGTATTTGTCTTTATTCTTCTTGGCTTTCTTCCTCTCCTCACGTAACCGGTCATCATCCTGAACAAACTCTACCATTTCTTTCACCTTCTGCCGTACGTTAATGCCCTGGTCCTTACCATTTTCATCTAGCAAAATAGAAAAGAGAATGTCAAGTCATAAGGAACTGTTTGGCCCATTTAATCTGGTTTCTACAAACCTCCATTGGATACAGAAAGAAAAAAAAACATAAAATGCTGGAATGTGACCCCACACAAAAAGTTCAGTAGTTAAAATTTTATCAGATAAGATGATGCCGTAGTCAACTTTTCTCTGTTGGTAATGCCAGAACTTTGCTATTGATTTACTGCATGGATGTAGTAAATGATTTCTCCTAATTAAATATTTATTGAACACAAATTCAGAAACACACTGGTGTGAAGGCAAATCTTTTGGGTTGAATACCGAAATGAAGCCAAAGCTACTATTGTGCTAATGTTCATGAATTGTCTAAGATGACTGAAAATGTGTGTAAAATGATGAAAATTTAAACAGAATCTCTTTTGAAAACCCACAGATTCTTTGAAACATATTTAGAACAAGGCACAGAGCTTTAAATAGCTACAAAAAGGAAACAGACACCAACACCTCTAGCACTGACTATGAAGTTGTCATTTTTGTTCCTGCTCTATCCTACACTTATCACACAAATGTAGCTTAAAAATATAGTGCCTTCAGAAAGAATTTACCACTTTTATTTTAAACACTTTTTGTTACATCTCCAAATTTTAACAAACAAAAACTTGTTTCTCCATAATGAAATATTAACATTTCTCTTGTACACATAAGCTTTTCAGGTCTTCCTGTCAGAGAGCAACCCAAGAGCATGAGGCTATGTCCAGTATGTTTGACACCTGGGAAAGTGTTACTTGGGTATATTTGAGTTTTGATAAACAAATCAATGTTTTGGCCAAAAAGCACAAATTTAATTTCTTCACATCACACTCTGCAACAGTATCAAATACTTGTTTGCTCATATTTGCTGTTTTGCACACTGCTTGAACAAAGATTTTTAAAAGCTTTTAACCTTTTCAGGCTAAACTTACCTACAAAATGATAATTTTCCAAAGAGCGCAGGTCGTAGATATGTTCTCTGGTGCTGGTGACCACCCGCTCTGACCCGTTTCTGATGAGGTACGCTAATAGTAATAAGGCCTGCACACATGAAACAAAACAAACACAGCTACAAGAGTTTAATGCAGGATTCTGGGTAAATACATAAACTCTTTAATACACTGAAGCTACAGCACATAGATAATAACCTTAATTATTCCGTCACACTCAGATAACTGGGCTCAGCCGAACTATTTAAAATTTTTAAGCACATTTAGAACCACACATTACTTTGTGTGAAGACATGAACGAAAATGGACTACTTGCACAACTACTTCCGCGCTCTACTTATTACAGCTCGGGAGTTTCCGGTCAGTGCACCTACATACAGACCGATTAAGAATGCAGATTATTACTAAGTTGTAGGGGTTGCAATTTTTTAAAAAACAATTAATCATATTCTCTGCATTAACATAAATTATCTTCAACCTGCTGAAATGTTCCTATAAATATATTTACCTTCCAAACCGGCATTCTGAATAATAAATATATTTCCCCACTGCCGAGGTCCACCGGTTGTCTTCTCATTAACAGTATTCTTCTCATACTGATTACATTTCATTCCTGTTAAATTTACAGTTTGACTGATAAACACAGTTACGAAAATTAACGCTACAGTCCATAAGTTTTGCCTCTTTGTCGCCATCTCTGTTTGAAAACCTGGAATTGCAGCTGTGTGCAGAATTATCTAGCTTGCGTGGGTTGTGAGTCGGCACGCGGGCTAAAGGCGATAGTTTTGAACACTGGCTGGTTATGTACTTGCTCAAATATTGATTTCGGATCATTTTTAACCAAAAAAGTTTACGGACTGCAGCTTTAACCATGGTTTTACTATGGTAAAAGTGTAGTAACCGGTTTTTACCGTTATTATTCTTTTTGCAGATTACCATTTGTATAACCACAATTTTACTACAAATACCATGGTTAAACTATGGTTAGTTTAGCAAAACTCGGGTTAATTTGTGGTTACTATGGTTTACTACAATTTTTTGGTTTTATTTGTTGTAAAACCATGATTAAACTTTTTTCCCCTGTGTCATTCCATTGTATTACACAACTTAATTTCTGAAATTATTTATTTTGTTTTATTTGTATGTATGGATTACTTGGGCTGTTATACACATCTGGTGAAAATTTCATGTCAACAGCATCTTTAGAAATACATTTACTGAGAAAAATGGTGACGCGTTCAATACTTATTTTACCCGCTGTATATAGGCACGGCCAATCAATTGGCAAATATCTGGACTTTGACTAAACATTTTGTAAATGAAGCGTACACTTATTTCAGCAATTGTCTCATTTGAAGGTGAAAATATGATGCAAGATGAGCAGTGCACTGTACCTTGTAAACTCTTCTCCAATTCTTCTTGTTGTCTTTCAGCATTCTAGTCCAAAGCATGTTCATAACTTCAGGGAACTGCTCGTACATAAATGTGGATCTGCAGTAAGGTAGATTAGTCACATTATGTACAATGACTTTATACTAAACGGATAAAGTTTTTAAACCTTGTATTATGTTAATTGATAAGGTATAACGCTTTAGGAATGTATTAACAATCAGAACACAAAAACTACTTCCAATAGGAATATAAGGTTTTGTAACCAGTTGTATAATATGGCATGTTTTTCAACCTGTCAAAAACCAGGAATTAATACCACTGTCAAACTAATCAGCTTTAAAGATATTTGTATATTTTCCCAAAATTTGTAGTCTTTTTTTTTAATGATATTATTGGTTATTTTTGTGTTTCTTATGAAAAATGTGTTGGTAGTACTAACACAGGGTTTCTCTATCAGGGTTTAGCATATTAAAATACTGCCTAACCCTGATTGTTTACAGTAATTTAACACAAGACACTAAATTCATGTAAAAAAAAAAAAACGACATGAGGATGTAATGACTAAACTTTCAGATGATCTCAAGTCTAAGGCATTATGCAAAGCAACTGAAATCATCAGCTATCAATGATGAGATAATTCTGAAGTAATTGCCCTACACAAATATTCTGCGGTAGTTGAGAGTAGAGTCAGTGAATGCCTGAAGACTGAAAGGGAGCACGTAGTCCTTTTACCACCCAGCAGGCTGAGCACTTACTTGGCAATCTCACCCATGAGCTGACCCGATGGGCCCCAGGAGTCATCATTGGTGGCTTCTCGAACCTTGGACTCTATCTCGGAGTAGTTCATCACAACATTGGTGCTGGGAAACAGTGAAAAACAAAGAACCACAAATAAACACCAGGCAACCACACACAGACACACAAGTCCATTTATTGTTACACATGGAGGTGTTGAAATAAAAAAAACTCTCTCGAGCCGGTCAGCTTTGGTCGACTGGTGTGTATTTTGGACTGATAGAAGAAAACATGCTGCCAAAGGTTTAAATGTGTTCAGATGAAAAACTGTACAGACAGCTCGGTTTAGTGTTAAATTTACCGAGCATTCATGTGACTAAAACAATTTGTTGAGATTGTCATAGCTTAACCTGTCATTCTATGGAAAAAATTAGTAGTATTACAATTCTGAATGGTGGAATTATGAGGCCAAAATATCTTCTCTACAAATGAAATGTATGATTCACATATTTGATTAAATCTGCCAGAGTCTTAACAACAGATACTAAAGCTAGCCACACTTGTGTGACCTAACAGAGAGGGTCCCATTAATAATTTTGTTCTCAGCCCTAAAGATGCAAGAGATGGCCCAACTTGTAGACCACTCTTTGCCGTTTTTAACTTGCTACGAGAAAGGTAGATGACAGAAAAGAGGAGGAAATTGGGAGTGGGCCACATCATTAAGAGTTAATGCTCATGTCAAACTTGTTTGTTTTCCACAAATCTTCAGAAGTCAGGAAGCGTAGGAGGACATGACAATGAAATGATGGGCCTTTATTCGAAAATGAAAATAAAAGTGAAAAAAATGTATGAGCCCTGGTGCTCAAATTCTAGTTAATAAATAGTCTAAGTCAAATGGAGAAAGTAAGTAATTAACACACACACACACACACACACACACACACACACAAACACACAAACACACAAACACACAAACACACAAACACACAAACACACAAACACACAAACACACAAACACACAAACACACAAACACACAAACACACAAACACACAAACACACAAACACACAAACACACAAACACACAAACACACAAACACACAAACACACAAACACACAAACACACAAACACACAAACACACAAACACACAAACACACAAACACACAAACACACACACACACACACAGAGTTAGTTTTAACAAGTCGATCATGGGTCAGAGGCTGACAATTCACTTCAGAGGATGACCGTATAACAAAAACATACCAACTACTGTTTAACAGGGTTGGAAGAGGGTTAATGCAAAAACATTTCTTAACTATGGAGATATTTAAGAGAATGGCCTAGCTACTATTTCCATTCAACAAAAGGCCTGTCCAATTTGGCCAAAAATATTATCACAATATATATTTCCCCCAAATCATACAATATCAATATTTATCACAATATTAATTTAACATTAATGGGAATGGAAATGCTTTCCACATGTTTGTTAAACTTTTAATGAATGTAAACACAACTCGTTTGATCACAAATTAACTCTACAGAGTAGCTTTGAGAAGTACATGTTAGTAAAAAAAAAAAAAAAGGTAACATTTCTACCACAATTTCTTTAGGTTAAACCAGAGGTCACATTAACCGAAAATTTTCCGTCATTTACAGAATTTCTTTTTAGCAGTGACGGAAAAATCTGAAGGTCGTCCGTCATTTTGACAGATTACACTGAGGGTTATCTATTGTAATTTATAGCTGTAATTCCCATCCCTGTCCAGTGTGGCAGCAGAGCGTGGGATCATCAGCCTCCAGAACAAAAATAAAACTGTCACGAGTCTTTTGCTATGCGTTTGATTACGCATAGGCGAGAACCCACTAGTAAAGCGAAAGAGATGATCAGTTCACGTGTGCTGCCGCTTCGCTTGATCTGAGGTGTACAGCGACCTATCACGCCACATTAAAGAGCGCCAAAACAGTATTTATTGCTTGAATTTCCTAATAAAATGGACAGAATTTGAAATCTGAGACTTTGTTTCATATCAAAAGTAACAACGCACAAAGTTTAGTCTATTGCGATTTATTGGATGGGAGGCGCACTATATGTATGGTTCATTCATCAACTGAAAACAGAATCGACTGGGATTTAAGAATCGACATTGTTTCATAAAAATGAGAATCTATTAAAATCGAGAAATCGATTTGTTTTACCCAGCCCTAGCATATTTTGTTGTTTTTAGTGGCCTCCGCTGTCACTGCGGGGTGTTGAACATGAAAAGTGACGTGATAAATAAATGTATAAGCCTATATGCTCGTCCTGTAGGTTTCATTATTAAAAATGAAAATGTGAACAAAAAAACAAGCAATTAAATGTGTTATTATAATTAAAATATCAAAATTAAAATGACGGGTAATAATAGATTATGACAGAATTTTTATGACCCTGATAATGTTAAAGTCTAACGCAACTTCTGGGTTAAACCACACTTTTGTTTTGGTGGTTTGTCGTGAAGATCTCTGAGTGTATATTTGATGGTAGTTTTGTGAAAAGCTTGTGAAGTGAGCCTCAGAACAGCTCTGGAAATATGGACTGTCCTCATATCTTTGAAACGACACGTGTGCTTCATTTTGTGTTGTAGACAAAACTGTGCCACTCAAAGACCTTAATCAGGTTTGATGCCATATTGAATTTAATGCTTATGAAAACAAGGTTGTGAGGGATAACACTGTGTCCTACGATGCCGTGACACGTGATAAAAGGTATCTTTTCCATGAGATTTTCCATCAGAGTTTTTGTCCTAACCAGCCACAACGGCGACACGCAATATTTCTATTTTTAAACGGTTTCTATGTCTGCGACGTTGCGGCTGGAGCAACATACAAACTGACAGTGATAATCTCAGGTACTGATTATGTGCTTTATTCAATGTTAAGTGTCTAATGTGAGTTTGAATATCATATTGCATGGCATTTATAGCTTTACTGAAAGCAACAACAGATAGTTTATCTCAGATCTTGAAAATTAAAGCAAACATGTACGTTAAAACTGCGAACCAACAAGTGTATTCCATAAAGATGGTATCAGTCACTCAGTATTTAAATATAATAATGTTAAAAGGTTTAATATTTATGAATTAATTTTAAACATCCATTTTATTGCAAGTGCAGTGTGCTTCCAGAAAGAGCCCGCCCACACACGCTTTTGATTGGCTGTGATATTTGATTGATTCTGTCACGTCACATTGTCGTGTCATGTCTGGTGTGGACAGCCAAATTGGTTGTCATTGGAATCTTGTCACGTCACGTGCAGTTAGGATACGGTGTTACAGTAGTCTTTACAATGGCACGCATTGTTTAAAGATCCTAGATCAAGTAATTTTCCCCACTCACAACTTTCAAAAGTTTCATGGATTTTTTGTCTACTGAAAGATTTTGTCAGAAAGACGTTTCATCAGCTAAGCAATATTTGTTTATTAATGTTATTAAACAGGTTACATCACATGTTTGATGGGAATGAGAATATACTCCATGGTTTTATTTCATTTCCATCAAAAATTAAATATTGCGCAAACTGGAGTAAGGTCTTTTCACACAGAACATGTAGACTTACTAGCAACATGCACAGACTGCCTACTGTCCCATTTATTTCTGCTGTTAGATTGATCCATAGAGTAAATGTGTCCAGCGGTTATCACCGTTAACAACAAATTTTATCGCAATCTTGATATGATATTGTTTATCGCCCAGCCCGGCAGCTCAAAAAAAGACATAAAAGTGGTCCATGCAACTGATATGCTATATTCCAAATCTTCTGAAGCAAAAATCTCTCTCTTCAAATAGCTCTCAAATGTCAATCTTCTCAAGATGTGTCAGACCTGGTTCGACAGCTCTAACATCAAACATCTTGCATTCAAATGATGACTCACAAAATGGCTTTAGAAGAATGCAGTCACACATACATCTTTTTTTTTGTCCATCTTGGAGTTTGACAGTATACATTTCACTTTTACTATAAGGAAAAACAGCAGTGTAGACATTGTTTAAATATCCGCTTCTGTGCTCCACAATAAAAAGAAACCATGAGTTGGGAATCTCACGAGGACTTTTTTGGGTGACATAGATCAAAACGATTTTCAGAGCATCTTGTAAGATCAACATTCAACACAACTTTAGACAAACCTAATAATATATGTACAGCCTATAGTCAGCACTATACGAGTATTAGCTCCACTATTAAGGCCCAGACACACCAAAGCAAAATCAAAGAACTACCATGTCGCCTACATCTGAGCCAAAAAGTTGCACTTGAACACAATGCAAAGACCATCAGTCATCAGCTAACTAGCACATATATTCTAGCCTCTGCATGAGAGGAAATAACTCTCCATACCAGCAGGTGGCAGTAGCCTTCATCATTTAAAAAGGGAAACCGGTAGAGCTAGGATTGCGGATTTACAAAACGTAACCAAAGTAGTGCTTGCTTACCATTTTTGTACCAATTTCGCTCATCACAGATGGATTCATAATACAGCTCCTTCAAGTAAATCTAAAAAAAATTGCAAATGGTAAAAGCATTGCCATTCTTTGTTTGCTTGCTTTCGTTACTTTCAAGCTGAACAGCCAATCAGATTGATCTCTGCCACCCATTCAACAAGCTCAACTGGTCAAAAAGCTGCACATGAGGGTCTGACTAATGCCAACGGAGTGGAACACCATGCAAAAACCAGGCTAACAGATGCTCAACGATGGCCTGACAATGGCTTATTTTGGCATGGCCTTTAGAGCAGACTAAACAGTACATCTTACTAATAGACAATCAACACGGGCAAAGCCTGTAAATCATAGATCAATGCCATATCATCTGAAAATGACCAGAACCACACGCACAACAACACTGCAGAGGTGGTGCTCGGCGGCTGTTTATCATGCTAACTCTCAAAACAGCTGCAAACACTTTCCATAATCATTACTAATGTGAAAATGTGGCTTTTTCCGCCTCACTCTCACAATCCCAAAGGGCAAAGAGGGTGGGAGGGTGAAAGTGAACTTCTGGAAGTTATTACAGAGAGTCTAGTGGTGCTGGATGATGTGCAGTAAAAACAGGAATGCTGGCAGGTGGGCAACATGCATCTCGCTG